TACTTACTACTAAATTTTGGAGCAGCCTTAAATTCTTATCTATATATGTAAATTTTGAATTCTCATAATTTTGTTCAATTTGCTGTTGATTTGTAATTAATGTTTTTAAATTTCAACTAATATCAGATTTTTATATGATTACAGTTATTAAATGAATACAGCTTGATTATATTGTTAATACTCGTATGTTCTCACAACGCGTACAATTGTTATATTTAGAAAGTATGCTACAATATCATGATGTGTTATCATACACTACTACTGCTATTACTACTACTGCTATTGGTGTTACTACTAATATATGTGATTTTTTTTTGTTTCACCCTCGGGTGCAGTGGTGCAGGCAAGTGCCAAAACTGAACTAGGACGGTATAATTTTTAAGTTTTAATACTCCCTCCGTCCCAATTTGTTTTGTAAAGTCAACATTTTTTGGTCAATCAATAATAAAAGTCAACACTCCGTATGGATAATTAATTCAATTTTCAATAATTAAAATTTACATATTCATAAATTACATTAAAATATCTTCAAAGTTGTAAACATAAAATTAGAACATAATTAAAAATTGACATTCAAATTAAGTGAACAAAACGAGACTGTTTGACTAAGAAAAATCAAATTTGCATCTCTTTTTGGGACGGTGGTAGTACCAAATATTTTACACTAATATTTAAGACATTTTAAAATTTTGGGTGGATTGATGGCTAGGATGCCCTTAGCTACGCCTATGCTTTGGTGTCATCCTAGAAGACTTTATATGTTAATTTAATTCGTTGTTTTACCGATCGTTACATTAGAGTAGATCACTCTTGTAATTTTAGTGTTCATTGTTCAGCTTTATCAAAATCTAATTAGCCTGTGACACTTGATTGATTCTACATTCCAATACCAATAAAAGTTTGGGTCTCCATCTTAAAATATCAAGGGAAATTTTCACAAATAAACTTAAAAGTAAAAATAATATCAGGGTTTTTAGCTCTTTAAAAGTTTTTTTTTTCAAAAATAGAGTAACTCCACTTTTCTTTTCACAATAGACCAATCTATAGACTTCCACTCATGACAACCTGTATTCCTTAAAAAAGGTTAGACTGGAAAAATGAAAGTCGTCACCAGCAATACGACGTGAATAAGCCAAAATATGATTTACTACGTATAAATTTATTCCACTTTGAAAAGATCTAGAAAATAAAAATTTTTAAAAATATAAAAAATGTACAAAAAATGACACTTTTATAAATTGAAAAACCAAAGATCTTAAAAATTAAAAAAATGTATAAACATATTATAAAATTATAAAACCATAATCTTAGAACTTCCAAAAAGAAAAATAGTTTAATAATAAAAATTGTAAAAAAATGCTCAAAACTAAAAAATAATACATAAAAATTCAAAATAACATAAATATTTAAAATTATAAATAGTGCAATAAAAAAGTCTATAAACTATTAGAAAAATTCACAAAAAAACAAGTGTAAAGTAATTCAGAAAAAGCTAAATTCTCGAAAATACCAATGTGAAAGTAAAGATAAATGAAATGTAGAAAATTTGTAGAAGCTAAGAAATTGCAAAAAAATATAAATAGTACGAATATTGTGATTTGAAAACAATCAAAAAGTTCAAAAAAGAATATATAAAAAGTGAAAAATTATAAAATTCAAAATAAATTTATAAGATTAAATAAAGTAGAAAATAAGATTCTTAAAATATAAAAAGGTATGAAATAAAAAGTTGAAAAAAATATATATGGGTTTTTTATTTTTAATATTTTGAAATAGTTATGAATTTGAGTTACTGTTATTATGATAATTTTATTGTTTCTTTGGTTGCACGTGGTTTCTGAATGTTTCTTTTTAATTTGTTGATAAATTTGAAAATTTTGTTTTATATTATTTCTTCGTGTTTCATGTTGTTTGTTTATACATGATTTTTTATTCCAAAGAAACATCAAAGATGACAAATAGAAACCTAGATAAACAATAAAAAATAGAATTAACAATTAACAATATGCAACAAAAAATATAATTATGATGCAGTAAAAAGAAACAAAAACAACATACAAAAGTATCACAACAAATATATAATTTGATCTATTATTTTAATTTATTATATTTATCTGTCATATTATTTAGCTTTGTTACGTTCTTATAATTTCTTCTCCTCTTTGACTCCTAGCCTATATTTTTCTGGATGACCCTCTCAATCTTATTACCCTCTTCTTCACTGTGTATTTCATATTTTTTATGAACTCGAAATAAGAAGTTAAGAACACAATCACCATCACAAAATTTTAGAATCAACTATATATTACAAGTATCTAAATAAGACAACAAAATAAGCAAAATGGAACAAACTGAATATTACTACTCAGGTCATGAAGGTCCTTGGAAATACTCTCAAACTTTATAGCAAAAGATAACCGTCATTTATGACAAAACACTAGAGTCAACTACTCCCAGTGGTTTATTAGCTACAACGAAGAAGATGTAAAAAAATAAGAAAAATTAAAATTACAAATCAAAAGAAGAATAAAATGGGGATCTTTGAGGTGCAATTGTCCTAAATAGGACTAAATGTATATTTAATTTCATAAATAGGAGTAAAACTTAGATCACCTAAATCCACCTTTGATTTTTCGACCAATAGAGGAACATCCCCTCTTTTATTTATAATATCACTACCAAAGTATGCTATTGTTATACTTTGGTAGATCCCCTCAATTTACTTTACATATTATCATCAAATAAAGGCTAAGTTAAATTTTAAAAAATTAGTCTTTTTAATAATTGAATTTGATTCTAGATTTCCAATTAAATAAAAAGGAACCATGTTGATGGTCCTTAACTTTAAAATAATCAATTTATAACTAGATGTCAATCTAAATGGCATGATTGAAACTATCTACTTCATATCAAGTAAGGATAAATCTTTACAATTTGGAAGTTGTGTACTCTAGATACTAGTTGTCCTAACTGAACTTATATAAAATAACTATGTAGTTATGACTAAAATAATAGTTGTTTACAGAAACATGCCTTTTAAGTCTAGTAACCTTAGTCATAATAATTTATGTTCAATTTTATCATTTAAATGATCATTTCCAAAAAAAAAATTAAATGGCCACTCTAATTATAGTAACTTTAGTCATATCTTTGTAAATAAGTTTTATTTTAGCAATCTTTTTTAAGAACATCAATTTATATTTACAATGACATGATATAAAAAGAACCACATACAAAATCCTAAATAAATAAATGGTCAAAAATACTACTATTTGTCATTCTAACCCAATAAAATTCATTTTTACATATTCTCGTCCAAAACAAATGTAGTTAAAAATATGAAAATATGGGTTTTGACTTTTAAGTAAAGGTGAATCGTTTAAAATTTTGAAATTATTGTCTCAAAAAAAACTGATAGAAATTAAATTTATCTTTCAACATACATTGAAAACTAAAGAAACAGGTCATTTTTTAAGTTATACTCTCTCATCTCTTGAAACTTTGTCATCTTTGAAAGTTTTAATTAGTCAGTCATATTCAAATTTGAATAATTTTATATGTTTATTGGATATTATTTATAATATAAAAACGTCATGAAAATGTTATTTCTTAAAAGATGCTTTATTAAATGTATAAAGTTTATTCCTTATATATACAACTATGTGTCATTCTAAATTAGCAAAATTAACGTTAAAGGTTTTGGTCAAATAAAGACAATACATTAAAGTTTGGAAATTAAAGTATGATACTTCTCTTTTTCATGACATAATAATAACTTGAATTCAAAAACACAAAACCTATTCAAATGGATCATATTAAATACTGATATTGTCAAACTTGTAATTAGATGTCCTTCGGAATAAAAAGAATTGACTTTAGATATTTTAGTGAATAAGGACTATTAATCATTTAAAATTAAAAAATCTAGTGTATTGAATATTGATAGTTGTAAACCGCGTACATATCTTTTTAGTGTACAGACCTAGCAATGACTTGAAGTTAAAATCGATGAATGGAAAAGCTCTTTAGTTCTCTTGGGATGACCCTAAGTCCCTAACTCCAAAAAAGAGCAAAAAGCAAGTTAATTATGATCAAGGATCAAATTTATGTGTGCAATATAGCTTATGATAATGATGATGTAAATTTGATTCTCTTATTCTTCTAATTGAACCATTACTTTTGAGAAACTCAAGAATTTTTTTGATGAATGTTATGAGAATTTTAATTTTTTTATAATGTGGGGGAATAATGAAGCACACTTGACAATCTTACTATAGAAATATGAACTTTCCACAAACGAAGGGAGTACTATTGAAAGTGATCCGGTGTACTTCAACGTAGACTTGCACTCGTTTAAAACATCTTTCCTTAATTTATTTCAAAACATTTCTGTGAGAAGATTACAAGTGACTCAGATTAAAAATATCATACCAAATCAAAGATATCAACAATCACACATAAACCAATAACAATACAAACTTCGAAAACAATTTCTACTAATACCAACTACTTGAATATAAAATACAAATAATACAGAGTAACATTTCAACAGGAAATACAGTCACTCGAGACATAAAACTATCAAATAAATGATATTTGGAAATATGATCACTTATTTGAAATTTTGATACTCCGTATTAGTTTTTGATAAGTTAGATGACTGAAATTTTAGTAAACAATTCCTCTATATCACTCTTGGGTTTTTTTTTTGTTTTTTTTTTGTTTGTTGTTATTTTGTTTCTTTCTTTTTCTTTTTCTTTTTATTTTATTTTTATTTTTTATTTTTTATTTATTTTTTATTTTTTTATCACTCTTGGTATATATTCACATAGTTGGTATTATTAAAAGCTATTTATAAGGTACATATTATTCTTTGTTTATGGAACATTGATGGTATATATTATTTTTCCAACATATAATACAAACACAATAATATAACTACACCGAATTTAGACCGAACCTCGATCTAAAACAATTAAATCTTATTAATTGGCAACAATGCCTAAGGATCCTTGCAAGAATTACTTATGAAAAAGTTGGTACAAGGTAATAAATAAATTAATATAATAATCATATATAATCTAATAGCAATCATGATAGCATAAACAAAATCTTATAGGGCTTCCTCTACATACAGGGCAGGGATTAAGGCCACTGTATGAACTCCGGCAAATCCTGTAACAACAGGCTTCATCACATGTTCCATCGCAAGGTCCGAAATTCCCCACACATTGGTAGTTATGCAATCCAGTTTCTCCATACGACGTCGTGTTCAAATCATCCGAAGACGCCAAAGGAGCATTATTGCCACATGGAAGTGAAAACGCACCTAATTCACATTCCAACAATTCAATTGTATATATATATATATATATATATAGCATGTTTCATTCATATCTAAGACATAGTTTTCATCCTAAAAGGTAAATCTGATAGGAGGAGTAACTCATGTCTTAATATAGCACTTCGTTGATTCAAACATTTCTGATGTGAGATTTTAACAAAATCAACAAGAAACTATTTAATTTAGTGCTGAAAGATCGATAAAACTATTCACATAATCTTAATTGTTTATCCATTTACATACCCAGAAATCTAAAAAACGACATCTATAGTTATTATGAATCGGAAGGAGCATTTTGTGAATGAAAGGGAATGCACAGATAAATCATTATGGTTATTATTAGTCTTATTATTGTTTGATTAACTAACAAAAAAGTATGACTCCGGAAAAGACTAACATATATGATGGGGTACTATTTTTTATTTTTTCTGCTACTATTATTGCTTTGGATAGTACTAACAATAGAATAATTGTTTTTATTTAAGAAAAACACGAATGTTGCTTAATTATAATTTAGTTTAATAGAAAATGAATTCATTGATAGTTGTACTTATTCTATTCTAGACGTGATCGGTTCAATTTTTATATTTCAATATTATATAATTTTAATATGAATGAGTGACTATTAAGTCATTTATATTCTAAAAATTGTAGACACATAAGATTCTTTCATTTAGAATTCTTAATTAGTAGATTCATTTGTGGCTTTTCAAATGAAGAATCATTTTCACTTTATTGTCTTCATAATTCCTATATTGATATGTGTTAGCATGGTTAAGTGAAATTACTAAATAATGTTAATAAACATGATTACGATTTTATAACACATACATATATTTTAATTAGATAAACATATTTATTTGTTGACCCTCTTTTTGTTTCCATATATTTTAATTAGATAAACTTCATTAAAATCAAAGATGAAAAATGTAGGAATCTCACCTGTTGCAAGAATAAGAACAATTAGAGAGCGAAATATTGCGGTTGGAGGAAACATGAGTATTGGATCTACGGAAATTAAAGCAATTATTGTGATTTGTTTAGTATTTAAATTAGGAAAAAAAAAATTAAACCACATGCTCTATTTATAAGTGTAGCGAATCAAAAGGCTCTCAACTTGTTCGTCTACTCGGGAAGCGAAATGAAGTACCTACCGTAAGAACAATATTAATTAATTTACCACAAATGGCATCGTTGCTTTTAATTTAAAAATAACTCTTTTATTGATATTTTGTGCAAATATATGGGGAAAATGTATGATGTAATTTATGCTATATTTGAATGTATGCCCTATTTTAAATGGTGTAAATATGTATCTTACTATTATATATTTATTGATATGCATAGTTTATGTTTATGTAAAGTGACTTACTACATTGTAAATGATATTAGTGTGAATCTCTTAAATACACATGACTAATTTGAAAATGTAATACTCCGTACTATTTAATTTGTTGATACAAAGTTTATATATTTAGTGTACATGATGTTGTAAATAATACGTAGTATAAACTATGTGTTGCAAATGGTGTATAAATGTAATATGTATATGCATAAATGCAATGTATGTTAATACAAATATGATGTATTTGGTTTAAACATGACTGTAAATACTCTAAAATGTGTATAATAAAAGATGTATAAAGTAATACGTAGTATATTTTTGAAAAATAATGAAACACAGCAAATTTAGTTGAATTGAAAATGTAAGCCATTCTAATTGAGAAGTACAAGATAATGCTCGAACAAGAATGGCAACTTTATCACATGAAGATAACAAAAAATGATGTAGGCACCGTTATAATTTATAAAAAGTATAATGGAATAATGACAAATATATGATCGAAATAAAAGTAATAGAAAAAATGTGACTTTTTATACTCTAGTGACTACCAAAGTAACTTTAATGAATATGATTGTATGCATCTCAACACGATATATTATGCATAATAACTATAGTAATATTTTTGTCCATAAATTATACAAAATATTTCTGTAATATTTAAAGAAAAACCTCATAATGTAGTATACATGATAATGAGTAAATGTAATAATTTTTGTGTGTAACAAAGGGAAAATGGTAAATTTAGTTGGATTTAAATTGTGTATCACTAGAAAAGGGCAATGCTCTAACAAAAATACATACATATAATATTTTTTCGGTTGTTTATCAAAATATTACTAATAGAAAATATATGGATAAAATGTGACTAAAATTATTTTGAATACAATATAGTTATTAAAAATCACCAAGTCACAATTTTGTCTATTGAGTCTAATCTTATCTAATCCAAACGGCTTAATTAAGAGAGTCATAAATCTTATCCTAGATGTATGTGTGTCCACGTACTATTCCGTTTATGGTATTCTCATAATTTGGTTTAATTCACTGTTATTTTGCAACTAATGCTTTGTAATATCCAACTAATTAGATTGCTATAATACGATTACATTTATTAAATAATAAGTATTCTTAATAGTAAATTAGTAATAACCAAATTAAGTGTATTAGAATAGCGGTCGAGGACCGAGAGCATGGGACGGAAAAATAAACTAGGTGTTTGCTTCGGTACCTTTGCAATTTCAGAGGTACAGTACCTTTGCTCGAGTGGCCAAATAATAGATAGACAAGTGGATTTATAAAACACATAGATATAATTGAGGAGGCAATCAATTTAAGAAAAATAAATTTTGCACTTTAGTCCTTAAACAGATGGACAGTAAACGGCATCTTCAATTCTAACGGAGATATCTAATCCCTACCCGATCCCTGCTCTCCACAGCAACCAACAAAAGAAGTGCGCCGTTGGCGGTTTCCTACTCTACACCGCAGGTCCCCTGCCAATGAAGTACTTACCGGTTTCCTTCTCACTACCGCAACCACAGAAGAAAGAAGAAACGGCGTTTCCTTCTCTTCATCGCAACCTAAGCGCACCCCAGCCGCTTTTCACGGGCTTCGCTTGTCAACGGACGTAGCCCAATCAATTGCGAATTTCGACGTGTTTGAAGAATTCTCTTCAAAATATTCTAGGAAATTCGGTATGTATGCGTCTTATTCATCAATCTAATTTAGGGTTTTAATTTGTGCGAAATAGCTATCCATTATCCAATCAAAATTAGAACTTTTAGGACTTGTTTCACTTCAAGTTTTATTGTACGAAGTACAAAGATTGATTTAATTATAATCATTATTTATGATGAATGGTCTGTCACTCTGTGGTATTCGATAGTCTAGCATCCATATTTGTTTGACAACTACTACAGCTGATGTGTATGGGTTAAAAGTACTCAATACATATCCTCAAAGCAGCTACTTTTAGAAGTTACACACTATAGCCTCTTTCTTGTACTATTTTTTCATCTTGAAACATGTGGTTACTTTGTTAGAATGCATTGGGAGCTCAGAAAATAAGATATATCATGCCAAGGATAGAAGTTAATTTAGTTTTGAAGTATTGAATTAATGAATTGCTGCAGCTTCTCATTTGTGAAGTTATACAAAATTGTTTAAAGTTTCATGTTTAAATGCATTCTATTGTCACTCTTAACTAGATTTTCCTAACAAAGTTACAACCTGAGACCAAATAGGAATTAGTTTCATTATTAATGGAATAACCTTCATGTAGGGACATCTGAAGTGTTTGCATAGAAGAGCTAGTTGTCCTGATATATCTAAAAGCTTGTGACCAAAAGGTGAGCCTGAGGGCACATTCCTATACCAAGGGATTGGTATCTGCAATGTAAGCACCAGCTCATTTGTTTTATCTCTACCATTTGCTCAGACACCATCACACCACAATAAACATTGAATTAGAACTGTGAAGAAATTATCTAGTCAACTAAAGTTGAAATAAACCAAAGAAACAAAAAAAGAAAAGAAAAGGACTTCAATTTAATGAAAATATAGACTTGAGTGATATTAATATAAGAACATAATGATATCTCTTTATAGCTAGAAGACAGATTTATTAGAACACATCAACTACCTCATTTGTTAAATTAGATTTCAAAAAATGAATAAAGGTATAGATTTTATTAGAACACATCGATTCATTAAATTATACATATTCATTTCTTAAAATTATCAAGTAATTTGAAACTAGAAGACATCAAAAACCTCATTTGTTAGAGCAGATTGACTAAACAAGAATACTTAAAACATCATGGCATACTGTGGGAGAGAAGATGTTAATTTACCTGATCCCTCTTCATTAAGGAAGCTAGAAAAGCCTTCATCGCTATCCTCTTCTACCTCTATAATTATTTTATGACTTATGTTTGTTATGCTCAAATTGATGGGTTTTCAGTTAGAAGAGACGATGGCAGATTTTTAGTTTAACATCCTATATTGATGTAGTCTTAATGTGTTTTGTGAATTGTAGATTTAATTGCAAACTTTCATTTTTTGTTATGATTCTTCCGGTCATTGGAAAATGTCAGAACATTCTGAAGAACACGAAGTAGATTTTTCTAAAGACGTAGGCAATACTTCGATTGTTGGTAATTTCCATGGTGACGGATTATTGCCTGAGGGTTATAAAAAAATTTCTGATCTGACACCTGCTGAAATTAAGAGACTCGAATTCGACTGTGAGGATGAAGTTTATAACTTTTATTCTTGTTATGCTCAAATTAATGGATTTTCTATCCGAAAAGATGATGTGCGTCGTGAATCAAATAATAATATCATCATGAGAAATTTGGTTTGTAATCGGGAGGGATTGAGAAGTAAGAAGCACATCGAAAGGAATGACCGTGTTAGGGAGCCAAAGCCTATGACGCGTACAAATTGCATGGCACGACTTCGCGCAGAGTTCGATAATCATATAAGGAAGTGGATAGTTGTTGATTTTGAGGATACTCACAATCATGAGATGACCCCATCACAGTATGTCCATTTAATGCCAGCTTACAGAAGCATTAGTGACGGCATTAAAGCACAAGTAGATAGTTTACACTTGCATGGAGTTAGAACTTGTCACATCATGGGGCTGCTTATTGGTCAAAAGGGTGGGCACGCCGATGTTGGGTTCTGCAAGAAGGATTTATACAATTACATTGATCAGCAAAAGAGAGCTAAGATAAATGATGGCGATGCATTTGCTGCATTATCTTATCTCCAAGCCAAAGCAGATAGTGATAGTTTTATGTATTCCAAGTTCACAACCACAGAAGAGGGGAGACTCGATAACTTGTTTTGGTCGGATGGTGTAAGCAGGCTTGATTATCATTGCTTTGGAGATGTTGTTGCTTTTGACACTACGTACAAAAAGAACAAGTATAACAAGCCTTTGGTTATTTTTTCTGGGTACAATCATCACGGTGAAACAGTTATCTTTGCATGTGCCTTAGTATCCGATGAGAAGACAGAAACATACAAGTGGGTTCTGGAAACTTTTTGTGAATGCATGTCTGGTAAACATCCTAAGGCAGTTGTCACCGATGGAGATGGTGCGATGCGTGAAGCGATTCGGGCAGTGCTCCCTAGCTCCTTTCATAGACTTTGTTCTTGGCATCTTCACAAAAATGCATGTGATAATGTTAAGAACTCGCGTTTTCTAGAAGATCTTAATCCTCTAATTTATGGTAACTTTAGCCCTGATGATTTTGAAAGCAGGTGGAAGAAGATGGTTGATGAACATGGAGTCGCCAACAACAACTGGGTTAAGAAAGTTTATGACATGAAGATGATGTGGGCAAGTGCATATATGCGTGACAAGTTTTTTGCCGGTATTCGGACAACATCCATCTGTGAAGGAATTAATTCATTCATTAAGCGGTATGTTCATAACAAAAACAGCCTTGTGGATTTTATGCATAATTTTGAAAGAGCCATAAAGGAGTATAGACACAACGAATTAGTTTCAGATTTTAAATCCTTGTATACTGACCCTTTGTTGACCACTCCCCTACACGCCTATGAGTCATGGGCTTCACAAGTCTTTACAAGGAATAAATTCTGGGAGGTTAGGAAACAAATTGAGAATGTTGTTACACTTAATGTAGTTGAAAGGGTTGAGCATGGCAGTGATAATGTTTGTA